AGGCTTAATCACTCAGAAAAGTGCTGTCATGTCCCATTGTCGCCGTATTGGGAGCGCGACCTCTTTCCCGTTTAGCTGCCATCTGAAAAGAATGTAACTTGCCAGGAGACAGGCGTGACTCAGGAGAATGGTGATGGGATATAAAGACTTTGACCTGCGAGCCGCCCATTTGGAGGCTGCCAAGGTCAGTGGCAAGGGCGGCGATGTCCTTTGCGCGGTGATTATTTGGCCAAACAACCCAAAACAGGCAGAGATGGGTCTGTCCGTGACATTCTGCTCCTGCCGTGAGGACATCGAGCCCCCAACCCCTCCCTGCCTGGGATTTGGGGCTGGATGATTGCCCACGGTCCCCTCCTGCTTTGGAATTTGTCCTCCACATCTTTCCCTTGCCATCCTCACGGGGCCATGGGCTGAGAACATTCTCATTTCTGCCTTTTCAGGGGCAGAGAGCCACAGCAGCATCTCCCATCTCCCATTCATCAGCCTGCCAGGGCAGAGGAAGGTTCCACAGGACAGATGTGCCCTGTCCCCTGCTCTCACCGTCCCCTGCTCTGCTCACCACCATCACCTGCCATGATTTAGGTCCCTGCTAACCCCATCCTCATCCTCAGCCACTGCTGGCCGTGTCAATTTATCTCCTCGGCTGCAAACCACCTCATCGAGGCAGTTTGAATCGGTGATTAATTAAGGTCTCCCTAGAAATGAGGTTACTCCCTGCAGCCTCACACAGAAATGTAAGATTAATGGGTGCTGGCCGTGTCAGACGGCCACGACCAGGGAGGGCTTGCCTGCTCCCATCCAGACACTCCTCGAACACAGATTTTCCGTGGAAGAACTTCCTGTGGGATGGGGAACGCTGGCTGAGGAAAGGGGGGTCCCGGGGCTGAGGCAGGGTTGGAAGCAGCAGCCAAGCGACGCTCACAGACTCCCCCAAGGCTGAGCCAACATCCAGCCTGCTCTGGGTGTTTAATTTTCACTAATCTGTTTGGGGGTTTTTAATTATCTGCAAACAAGGTGCCTTCTTCGTGGAATAACAACGGAGCTGGGGGCGGTGGGCGGAGGGGCTGTGCCCACACCCCTTCCCTGCCGCTCAGCACCTCTCCAGAACTTTGCCCAGGACTTGTTTATCTGTCCTTATCCATCACCAGTGGCGGGATTCCGCCCTGCTAACCATCATCTGCATGCAGCATCTCCGGCTGCAGGAGCCAGTCCTGCTCGGCCGGTGTGTAAAAGCCTTCGCAATCTCCCTGCGCTGCGAGCTGGAGGAGGCTTTAAGTGCAAGGCTCTTTAATAAGATGAAAAGAGCCCTTTCTTTCCCCACTGGTTCTCTGCTTGCTCTTTCACGCTGCCGGAGCCCGGGGGTTGTGTCAGGGCCTGCCTCTCAGTGGGCTGACAGGTTTCCTAACTCCCCTCCGTGCACTGTCAGCACAGCACCGGGAACAGCAAATTCCTGTTGCAGCAGCTGCAGGAGGAGGAAGGCCCGGTCGGAGCAGTGTGGTCGGGTTTTTGTCTCCAAAACACCCTCAGTGGCACTGGTGACCTGCAGAAAACCCTGGGCCTCAGTGTGTGCAGCAGGAAAATGGGTCTAATCCCATTTACCTGTCTCCTCCAGAGCTGGCTGCAGTGTTTGATTCATGTCAGCAGCTTGGCTGGTGACTGCGGGATGAATGACGCTATATAAATGCAAAGTGTTATTAATATTTCATGTTGTAGTGAAAATGTACTAATGGGGCTTGTTCCTGGAAGATAAAGTGCTGCCATTAATACACCTTTGTGTCCCCTGCACTGGGGACTCACCTGTGGAGGGATGGAGGGGCTCTACCCAAAGCAGAAACCACCCATCACACCTGGCAGTCCCCAAAATAGGGGATTTTAACCCAGAAAGACACAAAGAGCCACTTCTGACACCCACAAAATTAGGGGTACCTGGGGCAGAACATCCCCCCCACTCACCACTGGGTGCTGCTGGGTGGGTGCTGCTCTGGGTCCTCCCTGCCTGTGTGGGGGACACAGCCCCTGGGACCCCCCTTCCCAGCACAGCCACTACACAGGCACGTTAAAAAAAAATAAAAAAAAAATAAAAATGGGCTTGTTTGATTTCAAACTGCAGAACTCTTCCCTGGAGCCATCCGCAAACACTGGTAATTTACTTTACAGCTGTTTAGATTTGTTTCTCTACATTTTTTTTTTTAAACCCCAGCAGAATTGCAAATGAAATGTGTGTTTGCTCCTCAAATGACTCCAGCTCTACCTGAACTCCTGCACCCCACACCTCCTTGGACTCCCCTCCCCTCTGACCCCCATCCCTGCACCCCACAGCTGCGAGATGGGGGTCAGACCTCCCAGAGGGGTTCTCTGAGCTGGGGCTTCACATTCTGGTATCAAGGAGGGGTGGATGGGGAAGAAACTTGTGCCAGCTTGCAGGTGAGGGGTGCACAGGTAAGCAGTTAATTAATTAGCAGTGAAATTATCAACTGCCACCCATTTAATAGAGGGTGGCAAGGGATAAATGCTAAATTATTGCCATGGTGCAAAGGTTCAATCAAACAGGATTATAAAGGGTGGTGTTGCTGAGAGGGGGGGCTCTCCCAGGGCTTCAGCCACTTTGGAGTGAGGGGAGATGGGTGCAGGGAAGGCATGGAGGGACCCCAGGTAGTGCTTAACTAATTGCCAGTGAAATTATCAGCTACCACCCATTTAATAGAGGGTGGCAAGGGATAAATGCTAAATTATTGCCATGGTGCAGAGGTTCAATCAAACAGGATTATAAAGGGTGGTGTCCAGCTGAAAAGGGGGGCGCTCCCAGGGCTTCGGCCACTTTGGAGTGAGGGGAGATGGGTGCAGGGAAGGCATGGAGGGACCCCAGGTAGTGCTTAATTAATTGCCAGTGAAATTATCAACTACCACCCATTTAATAGAGGGTGGCAAGGGATAAATGCTAAATTATTGCCATGGTGCAAAGGTTCAATCAAACAGGATTATAAAGGGTAGTGTTGCTGAAAAGGGGGGTGCTCCCAGGGCTTCGGCCACTTTGGAGTGAGGGGAGATGGGTGCAGGGAAGGCATGGAGGGACCCCGGGCAGTGCTGGGCATCCCTGCAGAAGCCGAGGACAGCCAGCCCTGAGCTCCCACCCCTCCCCACGGCGGAGCAGCCGGCTCGGCCCTTCCCGGCACGGCAGCGCTGCGTGCGGGGCCGCCCTTCGCCTCGGGAAATCTGGCTGGAAATCTTCCACGGGACACGTGGGGATCCGCCTGGAGCCTCATCCCTTCCCCCGGGAATCTCCTCCTCGCTCCCAGGAGCGCGGGGGTGACTCATGTGCAGTCTCTGGGGCCGGGTGATGCTCTCCTGCCCTGGGCAGGCTGCAGCAGCGCTGCCGAGGGACACCCGCAGGTGAGCGGCCTGGGGACCCCCTCTGCCGCGACCCCCGGCCCCGAGAGCGTGGGGAGGGCGCTGGGGAAGAGCCTCTGCCCAGCCTGGCACCAGGGAGACGGGCACGGCAGCGTGCACAGGGAAGGAGGAATTTGGGGTGTGCGCGTTCCTCCAGGCAGGGACGAGAACCGGGAGCTCCGTGGCCGCTCCAGTCCTGCAGGTGGGTGCATTGGCTGAGCTGTGGGGTGTGTTCACCCCTCGGCGAGGGGGAATCTTGTTATTCCACTGGTAGGCAAAATATTTAAGGAGATCCAGCGCCAAACGCAGCCCTGGGAGTCTTTGCAGGGTGTGCGTTTATCCGGCACGATGCAAGCCGGGCTCAAATCGGCCACGCAGGTGCCGGGGGTCGGTGAAAATCGGTTTTTTTTGGATGCCCGGCCCCACGGCAGCCCCTCGGCATTGCAGGGGCTGTGCAGCCCCCCCAGCCCAGCCGCTGCCTCTGCCCTGCCGGGGGTTCCCCGGTGCCCCCTGGGCACGGCGTGGGCACACGGAGCGGCGGCACCGGGCAGATTCCAGCGGTGGGAGAGGACAGCGCAGCCCGGTGAGTCACGCCCCGGCTGCTCCTATTTGTTGTCTGCCTGGGCCAGGCTTGGCAACGTAAGGGAAATTAATAACAAATACCTGGGCAACGAGGCGGGAGCTGGGGCGGGATGGGGGATGAGCACCGGAGGTGGCTGGAGGATGCTGTGGCTGCGGCAGAAACCTCGAGTGGTGTCAGGTGCCCAGAGTAGGGGACAGTGCTTGGAGGAGACGTGTCACCTGGAGCAGGCCTGTGCTGTCTGTGGTGTCACCTGGAGCAGGTCGGTGCTGTCTGTGGTGTCACCTGGAGCAGGTCGGTGTTATCAGTGGTGTCACCTGGAGCAGGTCAGTGCTGTCTGTGGTGTCACCTGGAGCAGGTCGGTGTTATCAGTGGTGTCACCTGGAGCAGGTTGGTGCTGTCTGTGGTGTCACCTGGAGCAGGTCGGTGTTATCAGTGGTGTCACCTGGAGCAGGTCGGTGTTATCAGTGGTGTCACCTGGAGCAGGTCGGTGCTGTCTGTGGTGTCACCTGGAGCAGGCCTGTGCTGTCTGTGGTGTCACCTGGAGCAGGCCTGTGCTGTCTGTGGTGTCCCTGCATGCCAGCACAGGTCAGAGGTGGCCCCAGGAGCAGGGCTCAGTGCTCTGAGGCACACAGGGGCTCCAGTGGGGAACTGCTGCTGCTTCAGTGTCACTCTTGTGCCGAGGTGAGAGGCAGGATTGTAGAAAAGGCAAAAAAGGCTTTATTTAAAAGAACCCCGTGGCTTTATGGAGCGGTATGATAGATTTTATTCTATTGGCTACCTAACAGAAACATCTTCCTTACACACTGTCTTTGAGAGGAACAGAAAATTAAGTCAAAAAACACTACTTGCAAATTGTTTATAGTTAACAAGTTATCACATCTTTCTAGCCCCTTAAAACTTCCCACAAGCCGCTGTGAGAAGTTGCTGTTGTTTCTCTCTTGCTGTTTCTCTCTCTGTGTCCCATGACATCCACACTTCAGTGTCACGGTGTTTCCTCTCTTCCCAGGCTGGCTAAGAGGATTGGGGAGCCATGAACTGGGGCTGGTTTGAGGGGCTGCTCCGTGCTGTCAATGTGTACTCCACAGCCTTCGGCCGCATCTGGCTCTCCCTGGTCTTCATCTTCCGCCTGCTGGTTTACCTGGTGGCGGCCGAGAAGGTCTGGAGCGATGACCACAAGGACTTTGACTGCAACACGCGGCAGCCGGGCTGCACCAACGTCTGCTTTGACCACTTCTTCCCCGTCTCCCACATCCGCCTCTGGGCCCTGCAGCTCATCCTGGTGACCTGCCCGTCCCTCCTGGTCCTCCTGCACGTGGCCTACAGGGAGGCCAAGGAGGAGAGGCTCCGTGAGAGCCAAGGGGACAATTATCGCCGCATCTATCCCAACCCTGGCAAGAAGCGGGGCGGGCTCTGGTGGACGTACCTGCTCAGCCTCATCTTCAAGGCCAGTGTGGACCTGGTTTTCCTCTACATCTTCTTCCGCCTCTACAGGAACTACACCCTGCCCCGGGTGGTGAAGTGCGAGCTGCCGCCCTGCCCCAACGTGGTGGACTGCTTCATCTCCCGGCCCACCGAGAAGAACATCTTCACCCTCTTCATGGTGGTCACCACCTGCGTCTGCGTGGTGCTGAACCTCATCGAGGCCACCTACCTGATTGGGAAGCGGTGCCACGAGTGCCTGAATGCCGAAGGAGGGGACAGCAGGCAGAGCAGCCACGACTGCCCTGTCTCCTGTGCCAATCCTGTGGGCACGGGTGAGCAGGGGTTCCATGGGGCTGACTGCAAACCCCCCACGGCCACCACCCCGCTCACGGCCTCCTGTCCCAGCACGCTGTCCAAGGATGAGGCTGGTTCCTAGAGCTGCCCAGGAGGAAGCAGGAGCTGCTTGCCTGGCCTGCAGCTTCCCGGCTGCTCTTCCTCCTCTGTGCTCCAGTGCAGGAGTGCTGAGGGTGGCAGCACCCTGGAGCTGGGCTGTGCCTGAGGGGTCTCTGCCTCTCCTGTCCTGGGAAAGGCACTTTACATCATCCTGCTGAATTTGGGGTAAAGCAGGGGCTGTCGAACACGTGCTGTCCCTGGCAGTGCCAGGAGCAGCAGCTCCATGGCAGCTGTGAACTGACAGTGGTGCCCACGCTCTGAGCCTGTACCAGCCAGGACAGACACCCTGATCCCCCAGGAAACCCCTCTCCCTACCTCTCATCCTACATCAGCCACTCCGTGGGTGTCAGGGCCACCTCAGACTGACGCAATTGTCATTAATAACACTCATTAGCTGAGTGGGGACAAGAGCAGGTCCCGGGTGCTGCAGCCACCACAGTGAAGCTCAGGATCCGGCCAGGCAGGCAGAGCCCGCTGTGGGCTGCTGGATCATCCTGCCTGGCCAGGGCAAAACACCTGAGCAAAACAGCCAAACACAGGAGAGGAAAACACCCCAAGCATTGATTAAACAATGACATTAAATGGCAGAATTTGATCTCGTTTGTTGTTGTAATAGATCGCGTTCGGCCGTGCCACGGGTGGTGCTGCCACTTCCGAGGCCACCAGAGCAGCTGAGCATTAGCTGGCATGAATAATTAACAATAATTTCATGGCAAATGCACTCACAAGTAACATTAACACTGAACATGCAGCTCGATCTGTTACTGGTTTTGCTCTGCTCAGAGGGTGTGATAATTATTTTTTCCATAAGCAGTGACAGTGCCAGCGCTCCCTGGCTCTGTCCCAAAGGACGTGGCACAGGTGGTGAGGGGACACCATCTCTGTGTCCTTTATTATGTGACTGAGGCCATTCTCAGTGACAGATCATTGCAGTGATCCAGCTGAGACCCTCCATGGGCAAAACTGAGTTCTTTCCAACAGCTGGATGGGAGGCTGAGGGGCTGCTGGGGACAGGCAGGGCTGAAGGGAAGCCAAGGGCAGGTGGGGCTGCAGCACTGCTGGGACTGAACCAGCCACTGGTGAGGGTGAGGATGGTGGAGAAGCCCTGGGGGAATCCTGGCCACAGGCACTGAGCCCTCTGAGCCCACAGCAGCTCCTTGAGTTTGGGGACCTCTGGGGTCAGAGACACAGATGGGGAAATACATCTGTATTATCAGATGTACAAATCAAATACATCGGTACAGATGATGAAATAAGAATGTTTTCAACTTCTCAGGGGAAGTTGTGCTGGCACTGCCTTCCTTCCATCCACTCCTGCTGCTGGATTATCCACTTGAAAGTTTTCTTTATGAAGTGCATCACGTCAGAGGACACAAGTTGTTCTTTGTGTGCGAGCCATTGCCCCGAATTAAAGAGCATGGGCTGGGCTGTTTGTTTTCCAGCAAGGTTGGCCACTCCTGCTCCAGGATGGAGAGTGAAACCCCGAGGAGTTCCCCTGTGCAGGCACTAATGGGGACAGAAATGAGCCCCAGAAAAACCTCCCTGTGCCACCTCTGCACACCAAAGCACAGCTGGAGCTGCTGCTCATTGAGAGACACCTGAAGATCCAGTTGCTGGATGTTGTTGTGCTGTTTTGTCATGCTCAGAGCAAACATTGCAGAGCTCTGAGTGTCTTGCACCATCCAGGCTTGGGATAAGCAGCAGTCAGCCAGAAAAACTGAAGCATTCAGCTGCTTCTTTTGATATTGGTGCCAAAAATGGGGGTCTGGGTACTGGGATATCTCCTGGAATGCAGAGGCAGGACCAGAGTCAGCAAACCAGAGGGCGTGTCACAATAAAAGCTGAATATTTCCCAGATTTTGTGTCCTCACACAGGAAATTCCCTGTATGTGCTTGTAGAGTCCCAGAAGACCTCTGAAACCTTGGGGTGAGGGGATTTTAAAGAAACTCACCACTAACTGCAGCCCAGGCAGGGATGTGGAGGGGATTGCATGCACAGGTCAGGGTAAATTGGCCTCCCCAGCTTGGGCTTGTTTCTGCCCTGGCCAAAACCTGTCTGTTTGCTGGGAATTGAGGAGAATCTCTCTGATTTATGTCCAGCCCTGGCTGCCAGCTCCCAGGCCCCCATGACTCCTCTGCCCCTGTTCTTGGGGGCAGTCTCATCCCTGGGGACGTGGCCCTGCAGGGGGACAGCTGTTGGCAGGCACAGTCCTGCCATGCTCCATTTAAGACCCTTCTAAAAAGGGCTTTATGTTTGAGCTTTTCCTGCTGGTTTGGCATCCAGCTCCACAGTTTGGGCTTTTTCTTCATGGAGGAGTCAAGGTTGGGCCTCCCTAAATCCCTGGGTGTTCACATCTGGCCCTGAGGCCTCTCAGCTGTCACCCTGCTGTGTTGGAGCAGGGTGGCCCCAGGGTGACAGGTCCTGGGCATAGCCCTTAAGCTCCCAAGTGCTGAGATCTGCAGAACCACGCTGGCACCTCGTCCCTGCACCCACACTGGCAGAGGGATGGCAGCGGGGGCGCAGGGATGTGCCCCTTGATGGATTTATGGGTTCACCCAAACAGCCAGCTCAGCATTTCCAGCACTGCAAAGCATGGGCTGTTTCAGCTCCCCACCCAGCTGCCTGAGGGTGATCTTCTGCCCATGCCAAATGCGCCTGAACTCTCTCACCGTGACCACAGGGCCGCTCCAGAAATTCCAAAACTGCAGGCAAGGGGCTGCCCAGGGGGATCCGGCCCCTCTCTCCACCTGGCCCTTACAGGGTTTGCCCGTGGGGCAGGGAGCAGCTGCCTCTGCAAGGAATCAGAGCTGCCAGCGCTTCTGGCAACTTCCCCCTCCCCAGGCTTTTCCACCTCACAGCCCACAGCCCCCAGATTCCTGCTGAGCTCCTGCCACACCGGCTCTCTGCATCAACATAGCTCAAATTCCTGATCCGGGCAGCTCCGAGGTGAAGGAAAGTTCCAGAGCCTCTGCGTGGCTCTCAGATGAGATTGGGGTGCCTGTGGCTGTCCCTTCCTCCAGGCTCACCCCATCCTGCACCCCCAGGCTGCCACCTGGCTTTGCTTTGAGTCTCCTAAACTCCCAATCCATTGTCCCCAGCCTGGCAAACCCTCACTGGCTTTATTTGCCCTCCCGGAGACAAAAAAGCCTCGGGGCAAGAGGCTCCTTGTGTGCCAGGAGAGCAGGGAGCAAATCCCTGCAGGCACCAAGCAGCCCGGGGCTCCTCAAACGTGTCCTTGTCCCCATGGGAGGGGTGGCCCTGGCCAGGTGCCCAGGTGGCTCCAGCACGGCTGATCGGCCCCAGGGTGTGCCGGAGGATTCCAGGGAAGCCTCGGGGCACTCTAGGAACCAGGTGAGCACATTCCTGGGCACAGGCATCTATCCATGGGATATCCGGTGGGATGGGGCTGACTCAGCCTCCTGGAAGCCCCCGGGTGCTCTGGGGAGAGGCACAGAGGGACATCACATCCCCCTTAGGGACACCTCGCAGGTGCCATGGGGGTGCGGCACGAGGCAGCAGCAGAGCAGGGTCCGGCTGCACGGGGACCCTGGTGCCACCCTGCTCGATGGGAAAGGTCCCACCTGGCCACACCGGCCCCGCCAGGGCGGTGCCTGCGAGTTCCTGTAGGTTGGAGATACCGATGAGCTGTTGCAAAACTATTACTAAGGCAAAATCATTTCAAAAGTGGGTTGCAATTGCGTAATCTGGGACACTCAGCCCTGCTTGCTGGCGGGCCCACAGCTGGGGGACACTGCGGGGTCTCTGGCCCTGCTGCCAGTCTGCAGTGCCCTGCAGGGATGGGACATCACCTGGAAGGAGTTTCCTGTGGAGGAATGCGTCTGTGCCGATCTCCCTGCGGGATCTGACCTGCCTTTTGTTGTTGGAGCCGAGCGTGTGTGTGCATGTGCAGCCAGAGCCTCTCCGGAGCTGTTTGCCAGACTCACCCAGTTACTGGGAACCAAACCAACCACCCTTCCCCTCCCCTGCACACTCAAACCCTGCGTGTGCAGGAGGGCTCAGGCTGGGAAGGAGCTTCCTCCATCTGATCCAGACCTTCCTCGATCTGATCCAGACCTTCCTCTGGCTCTCCCACCTGGACAGGTACCTGCTGGGGCACAGGGCGCTCTGGGGCTGCCAGGGTGGAGGGGGGACAGCCCTGCGGGGTAACAGGGGACAGTGGGAGCTGTGCTAAGGTGTAACGGGGTGGTGCTGTGGCTGTGGGGTCAGAAGTGGGGATCCCAACATCACAGTGCCACATCAAGACCCCACAGGCCGTGCCAGGGGCGATGAAGGGGGATGGCACAGTGTGGCACCCCGAGGAGCAGCAATGGCCACCCCATGGCCACCTCTGTCCCACTCCCAAAAGGGGCAGAGAGACCCCTGGAGAAAAGCGTTTCTGCTGAGTTTGCAGCCCAGGTGGGAGCAGGGCGCTGCCGGGTCCAACGCCCTGCGCCCACACGGGGCAGTGACGCAGTGGGTTGGCATCCCGGGGGCTGGCAAAGGTGCCGGGCTCTGCGGGAGGCAAACGGGCACTGCCGGCACAGCTGAGCACTCCTGAGAGCTGCCCCTGCTCTGCCTGGCTGCCATCCAGCACTGGGCAGCCCGTGGGGGCTCACAGAGTGCTGCACACACCCGCTGCCACGGGGATTGGCACAGAGCTTGGCACGGAGATCACAGCCCCTTCCTGCCCCGCTGCGGGCCCATGAGTGGAGCCAGCGCTGGGCTGAACTGGGCACACAGGTGCTGGGCAGGTGGGTTATGGGCAGGCGGGTGCTGGGTTGGTCTCGCTGGCACCAGGGTTGGGGTTGTGGGTGAAGTAGCAGGCTGGCACTGGGGGCACGTAGAGTCTCCAGGTTCCATCTCCGCCAGCTTTTGGGGGAAAACAGCAGCTTCCCTCTCCCAGTTTTAAATCCAAGGGTTGGGTGGGAACGCGGTGATTGCTCCCCACCCTGACTCCCGGCCAAGGGTTCGCTAGGGAGGAAGATCTGGTTCCAGACAGGGTGGTGAGCGAAGGTGCGTGGGCATGGGCAGAGGCACAGCCCTGGCACTTGGCACATGGGACCCCAGGGACCCCAGCCTGGGGCCACTCAGCCCAGCCACCCTTCCTGGTGCGTCCCTGGGCCAGAAGTGTGGGAGCACAGCCACAGGTTCGGGGTTTGCTGCGGGGTGGCCCTGGCCAAGGACAGGGTCCCAGAGTGTTCCATGGGCTCCAGGCAGTGCTCCAGGTTCTGTTCCACCCCACAGCCCTGGGACAGTGCAGTGCAGTGGATGAGAGGACCCTGATCTCCACTCTGCCATCGTGCCCTGGCTATGCCCCGTGCTGGACACTCCCCACCCCACAGCCCCCGGTGAGCGGGGAAGGAGCCTGAGCCTCCTCCAGGTACGTCTTGGAAGGCACTGGGTGGGCAAGAGGCAGCAGCAATTCCTTAAAAGTGGGAGACACCCAGTGTTCTGTGAATCCCTTTGCCAGAGCAGACACCTTCACAGCCCAGAGGGTTGTAAAAACCACCTGGGTTTGTAAATCCAGGTGCAGTAAAGCTCCGGGTCAGGCTTAGCATGTCTCCCTCCTCACACAGGGCAGCCCCAGGCTGAGCTGCAGAGCCGGTTTGGCCATCGGCACCTCCGGCGTTGCTGCCGGAGCAGGAGCAGAGCGCTGGCCAGGGTGACACACACAGACTGTGACACACACGGACTGTGACACACACAGACTGTGACACACACAGACTCTCACTTTCTGCAGCCCCACTGTCACCTCTGTTTGGGCTGCCTCAGGTATCACCTGTGAGACAGAAAACAGGTCCCTGGCACGTGCCAGCACACCAGCTGGGACAGGAGCAGCCATTTCCCCTTTGGCTGGTGATCCTGGCCTGCTCCAGCAGATCGTGCTGCCACTTTGCACCAGCACACACAATCAGGCACAGGGCTGGTGGCAGGGACTTGGCCGGGTGGCTCATCCCTGACAGCAAAGGCTCTGTCAGAAGGAAGTGCAGAGCGATTGAGTCACCTCTGTCACCAGGAGTGTGAGGATGGGCTTTACTGTCTGCAGGGGTGAAGAGCCCCCATCCTAGATGAGTGTAATGTGGTGGGGGAGAGGGTTCAGAGGTCAGTGAGAGTTAGTGCAGCGAGAGATGTGCAGCCCCAGTGGTGCCTCCATTGCTCCTTCTGCCTCTCCAGGTTGGGTGACTCTGGTCTCCATCAGCTGCCATGGATTGGAAAACGCTGCAGGGGCTGCTCAGCGGGGTCAACAAGTACTCCACAGCCTTCAGCCGCATCTGGCTCTCCATGGTCTTTGTCTTCCGTGTGCTGGTCTACGTGGTGGCGGCCGAGAAGGTCTGGGGTGATGAGCAGAAGGACTTTGACTGCAACACGCGGCAGCCGGGCTGCACCAACGTGTGCTATGACCACTTCTTCCCCGTCTCCCACATCCGCCTCTGGGCCCTGCAGCTCATCTTTGTCACTTGTCCTTCCCTCCTGGTCATCATGCACGTGGCCTACCGGGAGGACCGCGAGAGGAAGAACCGGGAGAAGAACGGAGAGAATTGCCCCAAGCTCTACAGCAACACGGGCAAGAAGCACGGCGGGCTGTGGTGGACCTACCTGTTCAGCCTCTTCTTCAAGCTCATCATAGAGATCCTGTTCCTCTACCTCCTCCACAAGATGTGGGACAGCTTCGATTTGCCACGGCTGGTCAAGTGCACCAACGTGGATCCCTGTCCCAACACCGTGGACTGCTACATCGCTCGGCCAACTGAGAAAAGGGTCTTCACCTATTTCATGGTCGGAGCCTCCTCCATCTGCATCATCCTCACCGTCTGTGAGATCTTCTACCTCATCTTCAAGCGAGTTGTCCAGAGGACAAGGAAGTGGAGGAAATCCACCAAGCGCTCCGTCAGCTACAGCAAGGCCTCCACCTGCCACTGCCACGTCAAGTCAGAGGAGAAGGACAGCAAGTCCCAGCCTAGGTGTGTGGCAGCCCTGACTGCTCTCTGAGGGGTGCTGGGAAGGGTGGTGGGGGAAGAAGTGTCCTGGTATGTGCCAGGGATGGTTGGCACCACGGGTCACCACCAGACTCTTCAACCAGGACCTCAGTGGCTGTAAGGGGAGGGGGACACATCCATGGGAACTCTCCTGCTTGGGACCACGGGCACATCCCCGGCTGTCCCAGTGGTGTGGACACGCTCGGTGGCAGGTGGGTGCTGGCTGCCTGTGGCCATGACTGAGGGTGTCTGTTCTTCCCACAGAGGAGAAGAGCTGTGACCTCACCCATCCCAGCTGGTTCACATTCCCCTCAACTTGGCTTTTCCAGCCTGGCAAATCCCTGAACCCTCAAGAGTCGACCTGTGTGAAAACTGACTAAACCCAATAAAGTAATGTCCCTGGAGAGAGACCCACGGGTGCCTGAGCAGACACAGGTAAGGCAAGGGCAGCCCTGGAGCTCTGCAGGTGGCAGAGCCACAAGCATGGACATCACAGCAGCACACAGATCCTCCGTGTGTCCAGAGCTTCTCTTGGGTCCTGCAGCTCTGCTGTTCCCATGCTGGGTGTGAGTGCCCCCAGCTGGTGCCCAGCCAGGGCTGGTGTCACCCAGTGCATGCCAGTCCTCCCAGCTCACCGTGAAGAGCTGTGACTCATGCACTGCTTTCTTTTGTACCAAGAAACCAAAGGAATTCTGGGCTCCGTGGCCAGAGCTCTCTTCATGCACCCAAAGTAATGACAGAGGACCAGGGCTCCAGTTTGTTGGCAACTGTTCTGCTGGCCCAGTTTGCCCAGTTTGCTATTTCTCCCCCTTGGCTCACACAAGCACCAAGCCGTGTCTTGCCCAAAAGCCTTTGCTGGCTCTGCTGCTTCTCTTGGTGCCTCTGTGTCCCCCCTCACCTCAGATGCACATCACACCTGGCACAAGCTACGGATCCAAAAATTCAATAAATGTCGTGTTTGGAGACACCAAATTCTGCTCTGCATGCTGGAAATTGGGGGACTGGTGAGGGCAGAAGACATGGATTTGCAGAGGTTCCTCAGGAGCGTGCAGCCAGGTCCTTCTCATCTGTCTGAGCTGGGCATTGGTCGAGCCCACAGCCGAGCTCATGTCCGCCCGTTCCGCCTCTCCCAGCTTGTCACGCGTCGTTAAACTTTAATTCAGCAGAACCTCACGCTGGCCCCCAAGGAAATCAAGGAGGGATGAGCATCAATTATTTACTAAACCTTGATAAATATTACAATAAATAGAAATGATTTCCATTTAATCTCTCCTTAAGCAGCACTAGCAGAGGGTCGGCTGTTCCCAGCCCCGCTCGGCTCGCCCGCGTTTCACAGCCGCACCGGGGTGTGCTGAGAGCCCCGACAGCAAAACTCTGTCTGGAACCTGCGCGGGACTTCCCGGCCGGGCTCCGGTGGGGCTCATCCCGAGAACGGACGGGATACGGGATCACAGCCGGGCTCTGATGGGGCTCAGCCCGGGAGCCTGCGGGATACGGGATGGGGCCAGGAACGGTGCAGTTCATCCCGGGAACCGGCGGGATGCGGGACTCCGGTGGGGCTGGGCTCCGGTGGGGCTCAGCCCGGGAGCCTGCGGGATACGGGATCACAGCCGGGCTCCGGTTGGGTTCATGCCGGGCTCCGGTGGGGCTCAGCCCGGGATTCTGCGTGATACGGGATGGGAGCCAGGCACGGTGCAGTTCATCCCGGGAACCGGCGGGATGCGGGACCGCAGCCGGGCTCCGGTGGGGCTCCAGCACCACCCAGCGCCCGCCGCGCCGCACGGACCCTCGGGGGCAAACCACGAGCGCCATAGCCGCGGTCCGGGCGGGGCGGGCAAGGACGGAACATCCCCGGGACACCGGCGGGGAACGCACGGAGCATCCCGGGGTCTCTGGCTCAGCGGCTTTGCCCAGTGGCGGACCCGCAGCCGTAGATGAGAGTGTGAGAGGCAGCCGAGCTTCCACCGTTCCCCCCCAGCTTCGGCCCCGACGGGTCCGGCCGCCCCCGCCCCGCCCGCCGGGGCCGCCCCCTGCTCCGGGGGCCGCGGGAGGGGGCGGCCCGCACACCTGCAGCTCGGCCCGGCCCGGTGCTAAGCCCCGGCCCCCAGTTTCCTGCCCACGCTCCTCCTCCGGCTTCCCCGGGCCCCGAATAAGCGGAGCCACCCGGGCCGACCCCTCTCACTCAGCGCGGCCCGAGCCCCGCGGGACGTGCCCGGCGCGGCGGAGGTGAGTGCGGGCACCGCGGGGACACCGGGACCGCTCGGGGACACCGGGACCGCTCGGAGATACCGTGCTGGGAACAGGGCACCCCACCGCTGCCGGGGGTTCCTTTAGCGGCACAGCCGGCACCTCTGTGCTAAATTAACAGCAGTTAATGAGGAGCCGGGGCTGTGGCCGCCCTGTCCCTCCCTCACAGCCGGGCTTGGCTGCCCAGAGTCCCGGGAGTGGCAGCAGGGTGGTGAGCGGTGCTGGGGATCCCCTGGCCACGGGAGGGGACTGGGGCTGGGTGTCCATCGCCCCGCAGCAAGAGAGATGCTGAGGGGCTGGCCGTTCAGTTTGGGGTGAGCCCTGAATAGGCTTCGGGGTGGCAGCTGTACCCCAAGGGGTTGTGCTTCCCCACTAGACCATCCTGCTCTCTGCTTTTTGGGAAATCCAAGGCAGCAGCAAATTCGTGAGCCCCCACGGTGCCTCCTCTCAGGTGCCCTGAGCCCCCACGGTGCCTCCTCTCAGGGGCCCTGTGCTCCCTGGGCAGCCCCAAAGCCCCACTGTGGGTGCGAGCTGTCCCCAGAGTGGTCAGGAGAGCCACGAGGAGCTGTGGGTGCTGCTGGGAGGGGAGAATCCCTGTCTCTCCCAGCTCCCTGTTCCTGTACTGTGTAGGAGGAGCCCTCTGGGGCTCCTAAACGCTGCCTGGAACCCTCCCTCCCTCAGAAGTGGGATGTTCCTCAGAGGGTTTGCTGGGACACTCCGCAGAGCAGCTATATCCTGAAAAAGCAGGGTTTGGGTGGTCACATCTGCCCTGTGCTCCCCAGCATGGGAACAGGGCACTGACGTGGCTGCTGTCTTCTCTCTGCTGACAGAGGCAAAGGGTTCCTAGAAGATGGGTGACTGGGAATTCCTGCAGAAACTGCTGGACCAAGTCCAGGAGCATTCAACGGTGATCGGGAAGATCTGGCTCACCGTGCTCTTCATCTTCCGCATCCTCATCCTGGGCCTGGCCGGGGAGTCCGTGTGGGGGGATGAGCAGTCGGATTTCGTGTGTAACACCAAGCAGCCGGGCTGCACCAACGTCTGCTACGACAAAGCCTTCCCCATCTCCCACATCCGCTACTGGGTGCTGCAGTTCCTCTTTGTCAGCACCCCGACCCTGATTTACCTGGGCCACGTTGTCTATCTCTCCCGCAAGGAGGAGAAGCTGAAGAAGCGGGAGAGCGACCTTCGGGCTGTGCACAGCAAGGACCCCAAGATCGAGCAGGCCCTGGCAGACCTGGAGAAGAAGATGTCCAAGATCTACATGACAGAGAGCGGGCGGCTCAAGATCCGAGGGGCGCTGATGTGGACGTACATCACCAGCGTCATCTGCAAGAGCATCTTTGAGGCCGGTTTCCTCGTGGGCCAGTGGTACCTGTATGGCTTCTCCATGGTGCCCCGCTATGTGTGCAAGAGGGACCCCTGCCCCCATCAGGTGGACTGCTTCATCTCCCGCCCCACCGAGAAGAGCATCTTCATCATCTTCATGCTGGTGATGGGCCTGATCTCCTTAATCCTGAACCTCCTGGAGCTCTTCCACCTCTGCTGCAAGAGCCTCCTTAGCAACATCAAGAAAGTGTCAGGGCCAGCTGGACCGAGCCAGGACACCTTTGTGGATGACATGGTCTCCAGTCCCTACTCTCCCAAGCACTATCCCTTCCTGCCCATGGCCGAGAGCCACGCACCCTCCTACCAGACCTACAACAAGCTCTCCAGCGAGCAGAACTGGGCCAACTACCGCAACGAGGAGAACCTGGCCCTGGGCGGTGGCAGCAGGCCCCTGTCGGACCCCTACGCCCCCGGGGCTGCTGAAGCCTCCGCCCCGGAGGAGAAGCCGGGCAGCCGGCCCGGGAGCTCAGCCTCCAAAAAGCAATACGTGTAGTGCCGGGCTGGCCCCGGCCTGCAGGGGGACACTCCTCGGTCCCTTGTGCCTGCGAAGGTGCTGGCTGTGGGCAGGCAGCCGCCTCCTGCCCGGTTCTGTGCTGTACACATTCCCCTCCGGAGGCTCCAGAGACCTGCCCGCCCTGGGATTGGGATGGGACGCTCGGGAGCACGGCCGTGCAGCTCTCGCCGGTTTCCCCCACAGACCCTGCAAGGAAGGAAACTGCACGAAGTTCCCCGGGACAACGTGTCCTGTGTGCCTTGCCGTGGGAAAGGGAGAAAGGCCTGGAGCCACGCCGTGGAACAGGCTGTCCCCAAGGCATGGCTGGAGGCTGCTGGCCATTGGGAGCTGCGGTTCAGCCAGACCCCAGAGCCAGGAGCGCAGCCGTGGGAAGCTGCTCGTCTGCAGCCTCCACACGGAGCAGGCTGAGCTGGGGACTGCCAGGAAAAGCTGGGCTGGGGCAGCGCTGACTGACCCTGGCCACCAGCCCCATCCCGTTCCAGAGGCCCTGGCACCTGCCCAGGGCTTGCTGCAGAAGCTGCCCCCTCCCCATGGGACACGGAGGGGTTAAGCCAGCTCTGTTGTCACCAGCAGATCCCTGGGTCACTGTGGGTGACCCAGGAGTGTGAGTTCCTCCCCTCCCAGCCCTGGGCTCTTTCCCATGGGATGTGTGCCTTTAAGTTATTTTTAACCTGCTGGGCTGAGCGTGGAGTTTCTGCCTTAAAGGTGCAGTTTGCAGGGACTTTGGGGAGCTGTGTCCAGCCTGGCCATGTGCCTTGGAGCCCTGTGGGGTTTAGAGAGGAATCAGCCCAGCACCTGACAGTTTTGGGGTTTTTATTACTTTGCACTAGTCATCTCCTGCTGTGGGCTGAGGGGCTGGGGAGGGGGGACTGGAAGGACAATCTGTTGTCACAGGAGTTGTCACCCTGATTTCCCCAGCCCACTGATGGTGTGAGAGGATTGTCCTGCTGTGACCAAGGGGCTGCAGGTCCTGTGTGACCCAGATGTGAGGGCACTGGGGTGTGGGCACTGCCCTCAGCACTGTTTCCCTTCCCCTGGCAGATTCTGTGTTGCATCTTGTTGAATAAAGTTGGATGAATGAGAAAAAGTGAAGGAGGTGTGACTGTGCTTCCTGCAGCCTCCAGCTGCCTCTGAGAGGGCAGGTGAGGGTTTGGAGCTGAGGAGGGGGAAATGCTGTCCTCTGGGATGAAGGGGAAAGTGAACACCCAGTTATGCTGTGGGTGCCACTCACCCACTGAAAGCACAACCCTCCCTGCTGTGGCCTCCTGTCCCCCTGAGGCCAACCTTAGCTCAGGGTTTTGACAGAACTGTCACGTCCCAGGCTCGTGGTGGCCCAAAGCAGAGCTCAGCCCCTCTCCCTCCACTGCAGATAAACCCAGCAGAGGCCATAGAGCTGCTCGTGGCTGCATAATAGGTGGAAATGAGCCACAGATAAAGGCACACAATGTGGCTGGGGCTGTTGTTTAGTTTCCCCAGCCAAGCTAGGCCAGAGCAGAGCCTGCTCTCTGTCAAAGACCTCTCCAGTGAGGGTGGGACAGGCTAAAAATACCCTGGAGAAAATGAAATATGGGTGATATGGGGCAGTATCACTGCCATTGGCCACTGCAGGAAATGAGGAGGGAGGCACCCAGCTATGCTGCCCTTGGGCTGGGAGCCAAGCCCACCCTTGGCTTCCTCCCTGCTGGGGATGAGGGGGGTGAAACCCCCTGGGGTGGGGTCTGGGCACATCAACAGCTCCCAGCTCTTGCCTGTGCCCTCCTGGAGGATGCTGGGGTAGATCTGCTGTGGAAGGAGCCTGCCCTGCTCCCAGTGTTGCCCAATTGGGACCTGCCAGGCCACCCCAGCACAATGGAGGGCACATCCCAGTGAAAGGGAACAGAGCAGCCATGCCATGTTTAGCCACCACCGTGTCCCCGGCTCACCTCCCCTCTCCTGGACTCCTGTTTTTGTTGGCACAGAGGGAGCATCACGCTTTTCCTAGCGACCCTGCAAGGTGGAAAACAGGACAGCCGAGACCCCCCCCCCCCCCTCAATCCCCTTGCGTGGATAATGCAGTGCCCAGGCGCTGCACAAACACAGCTCCGTGTCCCACCATTGTTCCCGTGTTGTGACAAAGTGCCTCGGGGCAGCTGCAGCGACCCCCTCGCCGCCGGGACGTGCTGCCAACAACAACAGCCAGGGGCTCACCTGCGGGCCGGGCTGGGGAGGGGGCAGCAGCGGGGCTGGGGTTGGCAGCAGCCTCCCAGAAGGTGGGCGGGCAGCCCTTAGGCAAATAAAAGTTTGGAGCTGATAAGAGCCCAGGCTGAGCCCTTTGGCACAGCCCGGGGATAGACAGAGGCCAGACGGGCATTTCTCACACCTCCACACTCCCTCCTGAGTCAACAGCTCCCTCCGGTCCCTTGTGGGAACGGCACTCGCTCCCCCAACAGCCGGCCCTGGATGATGATGCTGAGCCCCACGTTGGCACAGTGAGGGGCTCCCATGGGCACCCCCAGAGTTAGGAAACACTTTGAGGCGGCTCTGCCAGTGCTGGAGGGACCACACACTCCCCAGAACCCCAATTCCTGCTGGGGATGTTGGTCTAAGGCCAGTCACAGTCCCCAGCAGCCCTGGGGCTCCTCTGCAGGGAGGTTTCTGCCCTCCTCCCAGTTAGGACCAGTCTGTGCCAGGCACCATGCTCAGCTCTGCCATGGCCTGGGACAGAGGAGTGTCCTGCCTGAAAGGCTCTGCCTGAGGTGCTGGCCAAGCACCAAGGAGTTTATTTTTAACCTTTCCCAGCATACAGCAAACAGCAAGTGTCTAAATCTGACCCACTCAGGAAGAGCCGAGGTGGGAGCAGAATCACAGCTGAGGGGGAAGAAAGGCAGAGATCTGGGCAGGAGGGTGCCAGGCAGAGCCACAGCGTGGCCACACCTGCCCACAGGGCCCTGTAAATGCCCAGGTGTGTCCTCAGGGGGAGTGGGAGCAGTCAGGAGCATCCTCCCAGGCCAGGCACAGAGCCCTGACCCCAGCACTCTGTGCCCACGGTAGCCACCACTGGGGCAACCCCAAACCAGGAATAATCCTGCCCTTTCCAATGGTGCACAGTGAAGGAAAAGCAAACCCCACAGAGCTCCCTTCCTCCCTGGGGTTATATTTAGCCCTCCACCAGGGTCCCTCCATGCACGGGCATGGCAGACAATGCAGCCCTGTGTGAGAACTGCAGGAGGGAGGAAATGCACTCAATAGCTGCATCCTGACATTGTCGCTCACCCCCGGCCGTTTCCTTGTGTGGAGGCACCAGGACTGCAGTGCCCAGCACCCTGTGCCCACCCTGGCATGGCTCCTAACCCTGCCAGCAGCTCAGGGCATCATCCTGATGCAACATCAGGCAAGCAGAGGCTGCTGCCAGCAGAGCCAGGGGCTTTTTGTGGCATGGGAAGATCCATGTGGCCTAAAAACAAGGACCCACGGTGGTCCCGGAGTGCTGAGGATCAAGCCTGAGCTGTACCTGCAGGAAGAGCCATTGATCCCCTCGTTGGGGATTGATGGGAAGAGAATGGGAAGGGAACATGTTCCCCTGTGGCTGAATGGGAAGGGAACATGTTCCCCTGTGGCTGAATGGGAAGGGAACATGTTCCCCTGTAGCTGTCCCCAGCTATGGCTCGAGGGAGACGTGACTTGGTGTAGAGCAGAGCTGCTCCTCTCCCACGGCACTTCAAGGCCTTTTCTGGCCACAGAAGGAGCCTCCAGGAGCAGCATGGAGGGAGCCATAGCAGGAAGCGAGACATGGAGGCTGGGAAAGACTTGGCTGCTCTCCGAAAAAGGGCAAAACCAGAGCCTGGGAAAAGCCTGGGCTGGGAGGGAGCAGAAGTCTCCAGGGGCTGTGGGACACACGCTGAGGGATGTTTTATTTGCTCTCCAGCACAGCCGGGGTGAGCCCCAGGGCTGTGGGGACGCCGTGCTCTGGGAAGGTCTGGGTGTCCCGGGGTCACCCCACTGGGGACAGGTCCAGGGTGTCCTGGGGCCACTGCACTGCACCAGGATGGGACACCAGAGTGTGAGTCCCTGCCAGCCCCTGCTCTCCTCACCAGCTCCCACCCTGCTCCTTTCCTCACAAAGCAGCATCACTCCAGGCCTTGGGACATCCCTGTCACAGACATCTTTTATGGAAAATCCTTTCCTTAGGATTTTTTCTCCTGAGAAGCTGAGAGGCCTCAGGAACAAAATGCAAACAATGGTTATCTGCTGCTGTGGAATGCAACAGGTGCATCTGGGATTGGTCTCATGTGGTTGTTTCTAATTAATGGCCAATCACAGCCCAGCTGGCTCAGACTCTCTGTCCAAGCCACAAGCCTCTGTTACCATTCTTTCTTTTTCTATTCTTAGCCAGCCTTCTGATGAAATCCTTTCTTCTATTCTTTTAGGATAGTTTTGATATAATATATATCATAAAATAATAAATCAGCCTTCTGAAACATGGAGTCAGATCCTCATCTCCTCCCTCATCCTGGGACCCCTGTGAACACAGTCACACATCCCCATGCCAGCACAGGGTCACCTCATCCCCAGCTGAAGCATCCCTGCTCTGATCTAACCGGACATCCAGAGCAGCCATCCAGGTGTTCCGGATGGCCAGGGGGATGTCACTGTCCCCCCAGCACAGCAGCTGTCCCAGTCCCCTCAGTGAGCTGGGGCACAGCTCGCTGCCAGCATCCTGCCTGAGGAAACCAGCTCTCCTCCTCTCATGAGCTGTTCATGATGGATTCCAGGAGCAATGCAGGACCTGGGCAGGACAGAGGGTCCATGGGGAAGCTGCAGCTGCCCTCGGGCCATGCCAAGAGCCCCTGGTTGTAGATGATAATGGTTGCTCTCCAGCCTAGGTGGGAGATGGAAGAAAAGGCTAGGATCTTTTGGATTTGTGTTTGGTTGAGCCCCATTCATCCTCCTAGGGCTGCTGAGAGGATAGCTAGGATAGTTAGGAGCCCGGGGTACGGCCACCACAGGCTGGGCTGGGACCTGGAGTTCTTGTGGCTGCTGGATTCAACCCCTGATCCATGGCACCATGTAGTCATGGATGCAGGGACATCCCTGAAGCTGGAGGATGCTCTCACATCAAACACTGACCTCTTGGCCAGGTGTGGGATTCCTTGCCTGGGGACAGGCTCACTGCAGGCAGGGCTTCCACAGCAGCCTGGATCACAAAGCCCCTGCACCAAACCGAGCATTTGCACGCGAGTGGCTGTGAGCAGGGTTTTACCATAATGGCTTATTCAGCAAAGCTTCCTCTGGCTCTCCATGAGGGCTGCTCGCTCTAGCCCTGAGAGCTGCCCGCTCCTATTCTTGTCCCGCCGGCACTTCCCAAGCGGCACATTGTTGGGATTCAATGGGAGGAAGGGTGGGTTTACAGCACTGGAGGCTTAGGAGAAAAGGCAACGAGTCAGGGAAGCGGCTTCACCCCTGTCCCAGCGCCTGCGGGAATCCACAGACCTGCAGCGATGCCGGCGGATGGACGGGAATCCCCAGACACACGGAAAACATCTGGAAGTGCCACAGGCAGGGATGGGAGCAGGGCAGGCGCTGCCGGCCAGGTGCCATCAATGCCCAAGCTGTCACCATCAGGGCTCAGTCCTTGCCCGGGGCATCCCTCCAGCGCTGTGCTGGAGCAGCCTCCCTGACTGACACTGCATGGGGCAGGAAATGGGGCAGCGAGGCCCCCCCAAAGGCCGATTGTGCCCGGCCGGGCCTGGGAACAAGGAGATCAATGGGCTGTAAACAGCCGGGGGAGCCGCTCCGGCGCGGGGTGAACAAAGGCATTTCACAGACAGCTTCCGAGCTGGTCCCAGCTGGGAGAAGGAACAGGACCATTCCCACCGCTGCACACAATAGGGAACAGCCGTCACCCCACAGCCTGGCTGGGAAAGCAGGAGACAAAGGGGAAGGGGCTACTTCAGGGGACAGTGCCAGCCTGCCAGGGGGACAGCGTGGTGGGCGCTGGAGGGAGGTGGCAGCGGCACAGGGCTGGGACAGGCTCTAAATCACACCCAGGCTCCTCCTGCACCTTCTGCCGAGGCCCAGCTGCCCTCGCAGCAAAGGTCAGAGTGTTCCCGGCGGCGGTGGGCCATGAGCCCAGCCGAGGGCAGCAGTCCAGCCCAGGACAGAGCTCGGGCAGCAAACAGAGCCGGGAGCAGGGCAGTAAAGCTGTCAGCGGGGCAGGAATGGCCCCGGGGCACAGCACAGCGCGGTGTGAGTGCTGGCTGCCTGCTGACCTCGGCGCTCGCACCGGCACGGCAGATTTATCGTCCCCGGGAGGGGAAGGCCGGGCCGGGGCAGAGCCGGGGCCTTGCTCAGGCACCACGGGAAAAAACAAGGCAGGAGGCAGCGATAACCCCGGCCCTGGCCCTGCTCAGGCAGCTCTGGCTGCGGTCTGTCCCTGCTGTGCCAGCAATGCCTGAGCCTGGAGGGGACACCGGCCAGTGCCTGCTGCCAGCCTCTCCCTGCTCAGCACCCCAGTGGGACCCCCGTCCCCTGGGACCCACGCTGTGCTGTCACAGCCCTTCTCCTCGGGGTACAGAGGTCAAACGGAAGCAGATGACGCAGCTGGGGGAGCCGGGAGGGAGGCACAGCCACAGCACAGGCTGGGAATTTGGTGCCTCCTCCTCCTTCCTGCCCACCACCCTGCTGCCAATGCCCGGCCAGGCACAGCAATGGCATTTGTCCCACTGCAGCAGCTGCTTCTTGAACACGCAGGGAGCAGAGAAATGCCCTGAGACAGGGCTGGGGCTGATGCAGGAGACACAGAGGCCCGAGAACTGACAGAAGTTTATTGTGCAGAGGGCAGAGATCTCCCCATTCCCAACACATCACCACGCTCAGAGCACCACAACGGAGCAGGACCAAGACTTTCAGCTCCCCCTGTCACTGTTCCTGGGTGGGATGATGCAGGGAGGGGGTCCCCAGAGAGCTCCATGGCTGCTGTAGCACATTGTGGCGTGGGGCTGTGTTGGGGTTCATCAAGAGCCACAGGGGATCTGGAAGCAGGGCAGCAGTTCTTCCTGTCACTGGCGGTCAGCCTGACCCCATCCCATGGCACTCAGGTCCAAACTTCTTCTACTTTCACACCATGGAAGAAATCAAACCTGAGGAGACACAGATGGAACCAGGCCGAGAGTGTTTTGTGGTGCAGGAGCCAGGCCTGGTGAGAGCTGAGGAGTTTCAGACTCTCTCCATCTCCACACACGGCTCCCTGCCCGCTCTGCCACCGAGTTCTGGGTACCTTGAGCAAATCCATTGGGTGGCAAACCTGACCCTCCGGAGGGCCCGGCAGGGTGAGGAGCAGCAGGTGCAGGAGGGAGGCTGGTGGAAGCAGTGCAGGTGTCAGGGGATCCCCAGCTCCAGGGCACCGCCTTTGCCCAAATCACCCTTTATTAACTCTTTTCGGGCCGGTTCCTGTTGAGCACGGCCCGAGGGGCGAACTCCAGCTTGTCCTTCAGGCTCACCACCTTGGTCAGGTCCTCGCCCACGATCTCCTGCAGCTTGCGGTCCTCCCGCTGCTCCGAGATGCTCTTCTCCTCCTGGGCCGTGGCCGGGGGGTCTCCTCGCAGGAACCACTCCAGCTGGGAGCCCACCAGCCCCACCACGAAGGCCACCGGGAAGGTGACGTACGGGGCCTTGGAGCGCACGGCCGCCCACAGCACGGACCACATGCCTGCCGGCGGTTACCGGCCGGGCCCGCTCGCACCGGGCCTTCGGCAATGGCCACAGGGAATGGGGACCCGCGTGGGCCGCGCAGGGACCCCCGCCCGGGTCCGCAGGGACCCCCGCCCGGCCCCGCTCACCCGGGCCCGGCCCCGGACCCGGCCCCGGCCCCGCTCACCCGGGCCCGGCCCCGCCCGTTCCGGTCACGGCCGTGAGGGGGCGGCGGGGCGGGGCTGCCCCCTGGCGGACAGCGAGGGAACTGCAGCGCTGGAGGAGCGACAGCGGCTGGGACACGGCGGGGACACGGGGGGGACACGGGGGGAGTGACAGCGGCTGGGGACACGGGGGGTGACACCGAGGGGACACGGGAGGGACACTGAGGGGGAGTCATGGGACACGAGGGGGGGAATCATGGGCGACACAGGGGGGGATCATAGAGGACATCGAGGGGGACACGGGGGGGACATGGGGGGGATACGGGGGGGACACCGAGGTGGAATCATGAGGGACACGTGGGGGACACCGAGGGGAACACCGAAGGGGAAAAGATTGAGGGATGCAGAGGGGCACGAGGAGGAGTCATGGGGAATATATGGGGGGACAATGAGGGGGAGTCATGGGGTGACATGGGGGGACACGGAGGGGAGCACGAAGGGGAGCGTGGAGGCGACACGAGGGGGAGTCATCAGGGGAGATGGCGGAACATACAGGGGAGGACAAGGGGGGAACATGGAGGGGAGTCCTGCAGGGGACAAGGGGTGTCACGGGGAGACCCCCGGGGAGAGTCACGGAGTGTCACCCATGGGGGGACACACAGGGAGGAGCCCCAGGGGAGCCCCAGGGACGATTCAGAGGGGGAGACACGCACAGATCACAGAGGGTGTCTTGGCCACGGGGAGAGAGAGTCATGCAGGAGTCACGAGGAGTGTCACAGCGAGACACCCACAGCGGTGTCACTGGGGAGACTCACGTGGGGAGTCACAGGGAGAGAAACGCCCACAGGAGGACACCCATGGGGACAGACTCAGAGGCAGAGACCCATGGGGAGACCCGTGGGAGGTTTCCATGGGGAGATCCACGAGGAGACCTGCAAAAACGCCTCTCCCACCGCATGGTCACCAATTTCCCGCACCACACCCATGCCTTTCCCACCCCACGGACACAAAAGGATGGGAGACAGCTGAAAGGCGAGCCCGGTGCCGGCCATGTCCCCGCAGGGAAGCGGCCGCTGGCCCGGAGTAACCAAAGTCATCTTTATTAATTGCGGCGGTTCGTTACAATAAAAAGGGAGCCACGTGTCACGGTCACTGCACGGCGCTGGCCGGGGCGGGGGCCGGGGGCCCTTCCCAGGCACATCCCTAAATTGGGGGTGCAGGGGGAGTGGGGTGGGGAAGGGCTCTGGGTGGCTGAGTGGGTGCTGCCGTCACGGAGGTGTTTAGCACCGACGGACCCCCAGGAGCGAGGGACCCCAGCGAGGCGTCCCCCAGCTGCCTCTGACCCCACCGCCCTGCCTGAGGGCCTGGGCGAGGTTTGGCCCCAGATTTCGGGAGGTTTGGCCCCAGATTTCGGGAGCTACCTGGCACCCACTGGCCCTGCCCTGGGGAGTGGCTGGTGATGCTGCGTGGGGCTGCTGGCGCGGCAGAGTGAGGGACAGGGGTGGGGTCTTCCCCCCTCTGCCACCAAAAAAGGACCAAAAAGGGACACTGAGGGGGGGACAGGATGTTTGGAGGATGGGGTTAAGGACAGGGATGAGGCAGATGCAGCCTCCTGCCCCACCACGCTGCTCTGCCCTGGAGGGAGCTCTCCACCCTGTTCCTGGCTCTGTGCACAGTGATGGGGGAGCTGGGAACAGCCACATCCCACGGTGTCCCTTGGCCCTGAGAGGCATCAGGTAGGTGACAGCCCTATGCCGGGGTGTCCCACCCCACAGGGCTCCGGGAGCTCAGGAGGAAGGGGTGTCCCCCTGAGGGTGTCTCTAGCTCCACACTCAAGGGACAGCTGCTGGCCATGCCCACACCCCGGTCCCACCCACTGGTGCCAAGCCCAGTGTGGTCCTTGTCACTGCAGGTGGGCTCACCGGGGGAGCATCTCCCACCTGCAGCAAGGCACGGGAGGGGGGGCTATTGCCTGTCCCTGGCTAGTGCCACGTTGCAGAGGTGCTCCTGGCCTCCAGGCTGGCAGGAGGGAAGGACGGACAGATGAGGGATGGGCTGAGGGGACGGAGGGCTGAGCGGGAAGGGGAGAAGCGCGTGGCGATGCTCCGTGCGAGGGAAGCGGGGCGGCTCGCCGTGACCGGGGGGCCTCTGCTGCTCTGGCCCGTCCCACCAGGCAGGACACAGCGCTGGTCACGTGTAGTTTCTGGTTTATTCCTTGGGTTATATTTATATATGTATATAGGAGAGGGAGCCCTGGGTCCCCACGGCACCTGAGCCGCGGGCGGGGGGAGCAGCGAGGGGACCCCTTTGTCCCCAGCACGTCCCAAAGCCTCGAGCCGGCAGGGCAGGGCTGGGGGGCTGTGGCCGGGCAGGGGCTGGGGGCCCTTCCCCGCCACACACCAGGGGATTGCACTGAGTACAGAGAGGCGGGGGGGCCTGCCTGCAGCCCCCTCCCCTCCAGCCCGGCGGGGCCGGGGGCTGGAGGTCACCTCTCTTTGGGTTGGGATGCAGGGGCGGCTGTGCAGAAGGGCTGGGGAGTGGGAAGGGGACAGAAAGCTGGGACACAGCCCCAGGGAGGGCAGAGGGAGGGAGGGAGAGCCCCGGACCCCAGGAGAGGCTGGCAGGGGCATGCGGGCAGTGGGGGGCAAGGGGACGGGGCAGAACCGGGCTTTGCGTTCACCCGCCGTCGGATCCACGAAAGGGCTAAGATAGAAAAGAGAGAAGCTGTGAGTGGGGCCAAGAGCTGCCCCAGGGTGTCCCCGCGGCCCCCCATCACAGTGAGCTACGGCCGCGCCGTCCAGTCCGGGTAGAAAAGCGGAGGCTGCGGTCACAGCCGGGTCTGCGCCTCGGGGATGTAGATCTCGATGCTGTCCGCGCTCTCAGTGGCCGAGCTCTGGCGGAAGGAGGCGGCTCGCTTGGCTGCCAGGAGCCTCTTGCGGGCCTCCTGCCGCTGCCGGTCCACCGAGTCCAGGGAGCGCTCCTTCACCGGGTGCACCTTGGAGCGCGGCGGCTTCTTTGGTATCGGGGGAGGCACCTTCTTCTCCTCCTGCACAGACAACAGGGGCTTCAGGCTGGGACCTCCCAGCAATGGGCATCCCAGCGGGCTCAAGCCATGCTGAGAGGCTCCACAGACCCTCCCACAGGTTGCCAGGCAGGGCTGCACATCCCTTTATCCATCCTGTGCCAGGACCCTTGCCTGGCCCTTTGCTGGGATACATCAGTGGGAGAACAGCCCTTCTCTACCCTCGCTTTTTCCCAGCTCTGTTTTTCAAGGGTTTGCTAAAAGCAGCCACCAGTGAGAGCCCAGCAGTGGTTTGGGTGCAGTTGTGCTTGGGGATGAGGAGGGAGGAAGAGGTGACAGGTACAAGTGCCAGTGGCAGAGCCCTGCCCTCACCTTGGGCTCCATGATCTTCCACCCATTGGCCTTGAGCTGCTGGAGCTCCCCAAACTTCATGCTGACATCCTCAATGGAGAGCTGCAGGAGGTCCCAGAAGCCAGCCAGGTCTTGGAAGGTGGGCACAGGGAATGCATTGGGATCCTGTGGGGACAGAGGGACAGAGTGCCATCCTCATCCATCAGTGGGATGTTGGCTCTGCTGGCCATGGGGCCATGCCAGCCCCTTGTGCTGGCTCTGTGTCCTGCTCTCCTCCATGGTGGTCCATAGTCACTGCTGAGAGTATGAGACACCCCCTTCCCAGCACAGCTGGCCCCTGGCACGCTGCCCTGCCCACACTCACCATGTTCTGCTGGCAGAGGCGGTAGAACTGCTGCACCTTCTGGGACATGAGGAGCTGGGCACTGCCCACAGCGCTCCGGATCTTCTCCAGGACTGGGGGGAGAGCAGACAGTCACAGGCAGCTCAGGGCCCTCCAGAACACCGTGTCACTTCTCTCCTTCACATCCCTCCAGCCCCAGAGGGTTTCCCGGTGCTTCTTGCCCTCACCCAACCCCTCCAACCTTGGCAGGGAAGATGCTCCAAGGTGGGAGCACTGCAGGACAATGACTGTGCCCCCCCAGCTCTGCAGGATCAGCCTTGGCAGGGAAGATGCTCCAAGGTGGGAGCACTGCAGGACAATGACTGTGCCCCCCCAGCTCTGCAGGATCCCCAGCCCCTCCCTTCGCTGTGTCACCCCACCCGACTCACTCTCCTCGGGCAGGTCGTAGTCCTCCGCCTCCCTCTCCATCTGCTGGCACCATCCCTCCATCTTCTCCACCTCTGCCTGCAGCAGTTTGATGAACCACTCCCCGTCGCGGTGGCACGGGGAGGCGCGGCCGGAGTCGGGGAGGCTGCGGGAGCCCCGCTCGATCCAGGCATCCCTCCGGGGCACCTCCACCGTGTCGTACTGCAGCTGGTAATCCTCGCGGTACGCCCACTGCCCCTGCGTGTGCACCGTCTTGTAGACGGCGTACTGCCGGCCCGACTCGGGCTCCGAGGAGTGCCGCTGGAAGGGCCGCCCGAACTGCAGGGCTTTGTCCTCGGTGGCCACGGCCAGCCCGGTGAAGCCCTCGAGCTCCAGGTCCGCCTGCACGCCCGCTGTGACGCTGTTGGAGCGCTTGAAGCGCGCTCGCCTGCGGAGACAAGGAGAGCGTGGGGACCCTCACTGCCTGATGGGACAGTCCCTCACTGTCCCATCCCCCATAGACATAAACTTTAAGGAATTTAGAGCTAAGATTTCAGTTAGAGATAAGCTTTATTGGAGTTGATTAAAATAAATGGGTAAGCCCTGGTGAAGTTAAGAGCTGGTAATCGCTGTGATGCTGTTGGAGCGCTTGAAGCGCTCAGCCTGCAGAGACAAGGAGAGCGTGGGGACCCTCACTGCCAGTCCCTCACTGTCCCATCCCCCTGAGACATAAACTTTAAGTAATTTAGAGGTTTTAGAAGAGCTAAGATTTTAGTTAGAGGTAAGCTTTGTTGGAGTTGATTAAAATAAATAGGTAAGCCTTGATGAGGTTAAGAGTTGGTAATCGCTGTGACGCTGTTGGAGCGCTCAGCTGGCAGAGACAAGGAGAGCGTGGGGACCCTCACTGCCAGTCCCTCACTGTCCCATCCCCCATAGACATAAACTTTAAAGAATTTAGAGGTTTTAGAGGAGCTAAGATTTCAGTTAGAGATAAGCTTTATTGGAGTTGATTAAAATAAATGGGTAAGCCCTGGTGAAGTTAAGAGTTGGTAGTCGCTGTGACGCTGTTGGAGCGCTTGAAACGCTCAGCCTGCAGAGACAGGGAGAGCGTGGGGACCCTCACTGCCAGTCCCTCACTGTCCCATCCCCCTGAGACCTAAACTTTAAGGAATTTAGAGGTTTTAGCAGAGCTAAGATTTCAGTTAGAGGTAAGCTTTGTTGGAGTTAATTAAAATAAATGGGTAGGCCTTGATGAGGTTAAGAGTTAGTAGTCGCTGTGACACTGTTGGAGCGCTCAGCCTGCGGAGACAGGGAGAGAGTGGGGACCCTCACTGCCAGCAGGGATTGTCCCATCCCCCTGAGACCTAAACTTTAAGGAATTTAGAGATTTTAGAGGAGCTAAGATTTTAGTTAGAGATAAGCTTTATTGGAGATAATTAAAATAAATGGTTAGGCTTGATGAAGTTAAGAGTTGGTAGTTAACTCATAACTGATTGCTTGTCAGCACAATGTTTGGTTAGCTGTGTTTATAATGAAGAATATAGAAATTGATAAATAGTTTTTAGGAACATAAGACAATTGTGGCCTCCTCTGTTCTGAAACCAATTGAAGACAGGGAGTGGGAGTTCTACCGAGGGTTCATTTGTCATATTTGCATTGAAAAGGTAGAAAGGTCAGAACGAGGAAGACTTCATTTACTTCCTCATTTTGGGACCCCTCCTCATGAAAAGGACCACCGACCCATTTCAAGGACCAAACTACACATACTTAATAGCGTTTGAACTAATTACCATACAGAGTGGGGAATGGGATATACCAAAGTTATGAATATGCATTTGTATTTTGGGTATTCAATACCTGTATAGATAAAAGGACTCTGTAATCACCTGTAAATTGCAGTGTGTATTTGGGAGCTATCCCACGATAAACATACACTTTCTAACTCTAAACTGTTAGAGAGTTCTTGCCCATCACAGTTGGATATTGGTACTAGATCAATATCCATATTTTTTTAACAAATCACCCCTGTCAGGTATGACAATGGCAGGGGCAGGGTGAGGGACACCCATAGGTAGGATGGGGCTGGGGATGCCGGGGTGGATCCCAGAGCATTCAAGGCCACAGGCACAACCCTGAGCAGCTGCGATCTGCCAGTCCCTCATCTCCTCTGCTCTCAGCCTGTTTCCATGGCTACCAGTGCTGGACCAGGGATGGAGAGGAGCACCAGGCTGCATGGGCACAATGCCAGAGCTCCCCTCCTGCAGGCCATGCAGGTTCTGGCACACCTGGCATTCCCATCCCAGCCAAAATGTCATGGTTAGCTACAGAAATGCCCAAAGGTTCATCTGCACCTGGCGTGGGCTCAAAGCTAAGAGCTGAGCCCAGCAGAGGAGACAGGAATAGGGCAGCCCCTTCCCTTGGGCAGCAGAGAAGACAAAGGAAAGGCCAAATCCTGCTCCAGGTGGGGGCAGCTAGCCTGGGATGGGGATGCTGCTGAGCTCTGGGGTTTCAGCCAGAGGGGAGAGGGAGAAGATGCTGTGGGGTAGCGGTGGTGTGTAGGAAGCCCCTGGGAACCCAGAGCATCAGTGCAGCCACATGGTACCTTTTGTCCTCCTCCACCTGCACCCCGATGGAGTGGAACTCCCTCTGGCTCCGGCTCTCCGTATCCGAGTCAGAGACAGCCTCAACCTGCCAAGGGGCAGAGAGAGAGCTTGGAGGGCAGCCCCAAAGCGCAGCGTGGTGGCTCAGCACGGCCCACAGCACTCGGGCAGCCCGCAGGGAGGAGCAGAGCCCACCTGCACACCGATGGAGGGACGCCACTTCCTCTGCCGAGCCAAGCTCCGCAGCTCCTCCCGGCCTGGGATGGCCTTGATGATGAGGGTGGAGGGCTTGGGAGCAGCACGGGGCTGGACTGGGGGCAGGTCGAGGGCCACGGCCGTCACCTTGGAGCTCTCCAGGCTCTCGGCCGAGTTGCAGCGGGCCGCGGCATCTTTGGACCAGGCGGGGCTGCGGGCGACCTCGCCGGGCAGGTAACTCTCGTGGGTGGACTCGGTGCTGCTCTGCGCCGTGACGGAGATGAGAGGTTTGGCTTTGGTTCCTGGAGGGATGGGAGGTGGAGCTTTTCTGTAACTGAAGGCTGTTGTGGGAGAGGCGCAGGATGAAAAGGCACGTGAAAACACAGACACTTGCTCATTTCCCGCCACGAACAGGGGCCCCGGGGAATGCTGCCCGTCTCCTCCCACAGCACGGGGATCATGGCCCCACAGGGTTTGCCCGTTAGCTGGGTTAGATGTGGGCTGGAGTTCAGAGGGGCTGTTTGACCAGGTTTTGGGATTGGAAAACACCCCAGACCCACACTGGCCACATTGCTGCAGCAAGGGGCAGAGATGGGGACAGAAGGAGGGGATGGCAAATGGGTGCTGGGGACACAGAGCACCCCCCTGCCTGGGACTGGGTGACGAGCAGGACACTGACACCCTGTCCTGGGCACTACAGGGGTCAAGGGCCAGGAGGAGGGCAGCAGCAGCCCTTGGCAGGTGCCCAGGTGAGCAGGCAAGGAGATGTGGGGTTCCCTCACGCGGCCAAGCCCTCGCCACCCCCCAGGACTCACAAGTGCTGGGCTTCAGGATGCTGCTGGTGATGGGCGGCCCAGGAGGGGCCGACATGGAGAAGAGTGAGAGACAGTCGTCGTCCTGGGAGCAGCCTGCCTGGATGGCCCGCAGGTAGCTGTGGCTCCGCATGCGGAAGCAGCCGGGCAGGTCCAGCGCCTCCACGGCCTGCGACTCCACCTCGCCGAACACCGACTCGCAGACGGCCTCAAACTGGTGGTTGAGCTCGTCATTGATCTGGGGAGAGCAGTGGGTGAGGCTGAGCCAGGGCAGGGGATGCTCAGAGCGACATCCCTGCCCCAGCCTGCCCCGTGGAACCTGAGCCACAGGACGTACCTGGCCGGTGGTGAAGGAACGGCCGTAGCTCTGTCCCCGCGGGAGCATTCGCGGTGGCGTGCAGCAGCTGGGACAGTTACAGATATATGAATCAGAATAGTGCCTACTTGCAAACCTAATGAGAGACAGTGGGAATAGAAGGGATCGCACCAAAAGCAACACATTCCAGCAGAGCATTGGGAAACGCAGCCACAGTGATCCTCCCGCTGGCCACTGCTGCTGTCCCCACTCCTCACTGCCCCCAAAAGTGTCACCTACTGGGACTGGAGCACATCTCACTCATCCCCCTTTGAACATGCCTCTTCTCCCCACGGTCTGCACGTGGCTGCAGCAGCAGGTCCCTCCCAAAAGCCCAGCATAGCCATGTCCCCCCCAGTGCCCTGACACAGAGCAGGGACGGGGCTGAGTGCTGCTGCGCTGGGGAGTGCGGCTGTGAGCGGGGACAATGCTGTGAGCAGGGAGGGTGCTGTGAGTGGGGACAATGCCGTGAGCAGGGACATGCCACTTGTCCTCCCAGGGAGCCCTGGCCCATGGCCCCACTGCCGCCTGCAGAGCTGGGACGGGGCTGGGAGGCAGCAGCCCTTACTTGGTCCTGGCCTGGTCAGCGCTGGAGGAGCGGCGGTAGCTGTCTCGCCGCGTGGCCGCCCTGGGCAGCACTTTGGAGCTGATGTCCGAGTCGGCGCTGTCCTCGTCGCCCATGGCCTTGATGTAGCTGCCGCTGCGCATCCGCCGGCACGGGATCTCCCCGTCCTTGCCCGCCGGGTACCCGCTCCACTCGTCCTGCGGCACCTGGAGCAGGAGGCAAGCGTGGGAGGATGTGGTGGCCAGGGTCCCACAGGTGGGATGCAGAGCCAGGTGGGATGCACCTGCCAGCCCAAATCCGGCCCAAATCCAGCACGTGTGCCCAGCTCCCCTGCCCTCCCCATGCACCCCAGAGCTGCAGGGACAGACCCTGGGTGCTCTGACCCTTTTGGAAAGCTCCAAAATCCAGGAGAGCAGATCCCTCCTAACAGGCACAGCTCCCCATTCCCACAACACGGGGCGGTGCAGCAGCTCCCACCTCACAGCCCCTCTGGCAGGAGCGTCTGGGCCAAATCCCACCCATGCCAGCGCAGCACCCGCCTGACGTATCGGGCACCAGTGCCACCACGTGCTGCTGACGCCAGCACCACGGGGTCCTTATAGGGCAGTGGCAGGGGAATGGTGTCCCCTGGGGCCCCCAGCCAGGGTGATGGGGCCGGCACCCTGCCCCAATGCCCCTGCTGCCAATGGAGACAGGCCCTGGCCACCCCCACTCCCAGCCAGAACAGCATTGCTGCTCCCTGTCTCCTTCCCCCAGGAAAGGGAGAGAAGAGTTAATTAGGTTTTAATTGGAAGGGGGGTGACCTAGAAGGGAGCCCGATGATGAGGCAGGCAGTGGCACCCAGCCAGACACACAGGCAGGATAAAAGCAGTGACAAGGGAGCAGACACAGGACTGCTGGTGGCCTGAGCTGACAGAGCTGTCTGACCCTAAATGCAGCACAGGGCAGGAGGCAGCAGATGGACTTCGAGGGGACACAGGGGCCATGGGAATGGGGCACAGGTGCTGGGAACATGGAGCAGAGCTGGAGCATCCCCACAGCACCCCAGGCTGCTGCATGGAGGGTCCCAGCCCTGGCTCATCCCACAGCACAGTCAGCCCCACTTCTCTCACCCTGCCCAGCCCCTCACCTGCAGGTACTGGTACGCTCGGTCTTTGGCCTTTGCTTCCTGAAGCATCAAGGTCTTCTCGGTGCCGCCGGCGCTGGGATAGGCTTCACGGGCCTGGCTGACGGTCATGGTGTGCCAGGCACTCCTCTTGAGCGTCTGGCCGTCCAGAGACATGGACATGCCGGCACAGGCCAGGCATTTTCCTTCCCCGCCGCCCTTTAGACTCTTCAAGGTCAAGTCTCTGAAGGCACTTTCGGGAGCGTCCACGCAGTACTGGGTGCCCTGGTCGGCGGCGTGCCGGCCGGACACCATGTAGCTGCTGTCGCTGTCCAGGTTGTCGTCGGAGCTCCACCAGCCCAACATCTTGGACCGGTGCCGGGAGTCCACCTTACGGTCCTTGCTCTTGCTGCGCTTGCCGTGGCGGGACTGGTGGTGGTGGTGGTGATGGTGGTGGTGGTGGTGGTGGTGGTAGCCGTCCCCGCGGCCGTCCATCTTGGCGCCGTTGTAGTCCCGCTTGGCCGGCGCCTCCAGGGAGTGGGACTTGGCGAAGAGCTTCTGGACGGAGTGGACGAGGTGGCGGATGCGGCTGGGGCTCTCGCTGCGGGGCTCGGCGCCGCCGGCCCGGGGGTACTGCAGCGTGTGGAAGCCGTCGTGGTGCAGCGGCAGCTGCTTCTCGAACTGGTCCAGCAGCGTGGGGGGCAGGCGGTTGATCTTGCTGGCGGGGTGGGCGGTCGCCATGCATTCGTCGCAGGAGTCGTAGGGCTGCTGCTGCTGCTGCTGCTGCTGCTGCGCGTGATGCATCCTCGGGAAGGTGCTGCTGGCGCTGGCGGAGGGCGGCTCGCTCAGGGGCCCGCCCGGGCACTCGCTGCCCGCGCCAGGGCAGTAGGGATGCTCCAGGGAACACGGCTCGCTGGGGCTGGGCAGGTAGGGCGGCCGGCCCTCGGGGATGCAGTCGGCGGGATGCTCGCAGTTGTCAGGGATGCAGCGGCAGCGGTGGCCGGAGGAGGGCTGTGTCTGGCTACGCTCCCCATGGTAGCCCTTCATCATTTCAGCACCCGCCCCATAGCCTCGGCATCTTGCCGGGATGCCCCTGCGGGCTCATCTGTGGGGACAGGGACAAGAACAGTGTCAAGATCCCCTCTACACCCCCACAACCAGCAGAACATTGGGGCCACCTCACAAGAACCAGCTGAGAAGGTTGGGAAGCTTCCAGGGCAAGATTCAGCCCTGTGACGTGCCAGAATTCTGGCTTTCCATGTGGTGACAGGAGCACAGTGCCTGGGCCAGGCACCTGGGGTTACCCCCAGCTCAGGTGCTCGGAGGGGGCAGTGGGAAGGAGAAGGTGCTGCCAGCAGCGATGCAGGCAGCAGGGCCTGCAGACGGCAAGGGAGGACATGCTGCCATCAGCAGATCCTTGTTTTCTTCTGCAACACCAAATATTATGAAGTGTTTCTCCATTAGAAAGCGGCTCTGGCTGAGTTTTTCAGCCGTTGCGATTCACAGCGCCGCTAATGAGCTGCCGCGGGGCGCGGGGGGGCCCTGCTCTGATGTCTCCATCCAGCCCCACATGGAGACCCACAATCCAGGGCTCTCCTCCCTGCAAGCCCTCGGGATGGGGAGCCAGGAGCAGAGGTGGCTGTGCTGTGTTAGGGCAGCCCCAGGGCGAAGCAGGGGGATGGACGGCGTTGAGCCAGGCTGAGCTTGTGCCAGCCAAGGCTGAGCCGCCTGCACGCATGGAGGTTTGTGTGCCTTGCAGCCCCTCAAAGGCTCTGTCTTTGGTTGGACTGTAAATGAGGAAATTACTTATTCTCCAGAGTATCTCGGCTAATTAACAGGCGTCGTTAACGCTCTTGTTGTCAGATTCAGGCAGGGTGCTGCAGGCAGCACGTCTCCCATACTGGCTGCAGGGAAAGGTGACCGTGGGATGCTCCCTGTGGCACGTGGGGATTTGACCATGGAGACTGGAAACGAGGGACACTGGGAGGGCCAGGGCTGGTGGGAGGGGGTTGTGCCCCAAGCAGCCCTGGAGGAGAGAGCAGCTGAGGGTCCCCAAGGGGTGTGGGAGTGGGCAGCAGTGGCGTTTTGGCCCTGAGCAGCAGACAGGGCCCTGGGAACACATCTGCCCTAAGCCACCACCACCTTCCTTCCCAGCTCTTTTGAGGCTGGATGGCTTCATCCTGCACTGCTCCCCATCCTCAGATCCCGCTCCTGCTCTAACAAGGCTCCCTAATTGCTGAGCGGAAGGTGCAGCTGGTACAGATGAATCCTCTCCCCTCCCCAGACAGCTGCTGCGAGGAGCAGGAGCGGCAGCGTGGGATGGAGCTGCCTCCCTGGCCTGGGATCGAGCAGCAGCATGGAAGGACAGACAGACAAACAGGCTCCCAGCCCAGCTCTGCCTCCGCAGGCTGAGCTATCATCTCCTGCTCGGGGAGGGAAGCTCGCAGCTGATCCAAATATTGCTGCCGCGGCGGCAAGAAGGAGTCAAAATATCTGCGGATCCTGTCAGCACGAGCCCGCCGGGCTTTTGTGCTCGGCAGGTGCAGGAATTCAACAAAGCCGGAACCGCGGGCGAGGCGAGGCAGCGCCGCCGCTCCCCCGCACCTGCGGAGCGCCGGCAGCGGGTGGGGACACGCCGTGCTGGAGGAGCCGTGTCCCAGCTCACCAAGGCGACACAGGCGTCTACAGCCTGCCCAGGGACCAGCCGGGCTCCCTGAGGGCAACCTCGGGATGGAGAAAGGGTCGGGAGAGACCCTGTGGGGCTCAGAATGGGCGGCACAGCACAGGGTACCCATCCCATGTGCCAGCAGGAACGGCCTCATGTCATGATGAGAGAGCCCACTCCTGTCCCCTCCTGTGCCAGGATGGCAGGGCAGGCAGGCTGGCAGTGGCACTGGGGCAGGCTGGCCAGGGCTTCCTCATGGGCACATGGCCGAGAGCTGGAGCTGTGTCCCTCCAAAGGCCAACGCACTGAGCAGCCCTTGGGATGGAGGGATTTGTGCCACCAAAGCACAGATTTAAGTCAAGGGGGAAACACCCAGCCCAGCTGAATTTTGTGCCATTTAACACCAGGGTAATTACCACCAGTGGGAACCTACCGCCCACACAATTATGTGCTAGGATAAACTGGAAGAGCATAATTACCATTACAAATAACTCACTCCTCGCCTTTATTGCTTCCAGCCTGGAGAAACTCCCACCAGTGGCTCCCCATCACCACCTCCCTCTGATGTCTCTCCCCATTGTGAGGGTCAGCTCAGGGAGGAGAGGGGCTCGAAGTCCCTGGTGCTCCAGGCCATCCTGAAATTCCGCCTCCTGTTTAATTTCCCATGGGAGCACTTGGCAGAGGCAGCTCCGCTTCCCAGCAGCTGCCCCATGAGATCCCAGCCTTGGAGGCAGCGCTGTGCTGAGCCCCAGGGCTGCAGGGGTTCAGGGCAGACCCCCCAGGAGCCTGAGCTTCCCTGGGACCCCACAGCACCCAGGATCCTGCCATCCTTCCTCCAGCTCCAGGAACACCAGCGGGGATGTGAGAGGACATCAACACCCCACCACAATGTCTGGGTCGGGGAAACCACCCTGACACAGGGCAAGACTGGGCTTTCCAACACTTCCAGATCTAACCCCAAGAGCTGGGGTTGGTGGCCCTGCACTCGGGGGGTCCTGGCCCCCTGCCCTTCCCCAGCAGCCCCACCATGGGCAGCCCTGCTGGGGTCTGGTGAAGGTTGCTGGTGGCACTCACCGCCCGGCGCTCAGGGGGATGCTGTCCTCATGGTCTCACCAGCAGCAGCTCCTCCACGCTGGGAATCCCTGGGGCAGCAGCTCTGGGGGAGGAACAGGGTGGGGATGAAGCCAGAGCGAGGGTGTTCCCCCCCAAAACCAGCCTGAGCCACCTCCCTGTGTGTTCTTTATCAGCCCAGCCTTCCATCCTCCCCTGAGGCCGCCCCACACCAGCGCAGCAACGGGGACAGCTCCGCACGGCCACGGCCACGTGTTTCACCCAGTTTAGCCCCAAAACCATCCCCAGTCCCATCCTGTTATGCAATCTCCTGCCAGCGGGTGCCAGAGCCGGCCCAGCGGCCTCCTCGCCATCGACTTTCATTTGCTCCGGCTCCGGCCGCTCGCTCCACAAAGCCTCCTCCCGCCACCCCGCCTTCCCAGCGTCACCAAAGGGACTTTTTTTCCACCTTCCAGCCCGGGAGAAGTGCGAGCTCGGCCCGTTCTGCAAATTAATGCGAGGTTCTGCCAGCTTGGGTCCTGCTGGGGACCTTTATGGCTTGGGATGAAAGCGGGAGAGAACAAACACGCAGCGTGAGCGAGCTGGAGCCGGGGAAAAAAAATAAAATAAAGTGGTTTTCCCACTTAGGGGCTGAACAAATTTGATCTACGGTCTTCGGAAGAAAATAAATATGGAATACCGCCAGGTCCTTTCCACCGTGCTTTTAATCTATTTACTCTTTCCCAGCTCGTTGTAAGTGAGAAGGATTGTGGAAAGCAAACATTTTATTTTATTACTAATTGCTCTGTTATTTTATGAGGCTGAATTAGTAAAATTTACTCAGTCTGGAGGAAAAAAGAGGGGCTTAGTAAGAGATCACCTAATTTAGAAGAGAAAGGGGAAAGGGAAAAGATGAAGAAAGAGAAAGGGAATAGGAAAGGAAAGGGGAAAAAAGATGAAAAGGAAAGGGGGAAGGGAAAAACAAAAAGAGAAAGAGGAGAAGGGAAAGAGGAAAACAGTGTGAGCAGGATGCAAAGATCACAGAAAATACACTGGCTGCAATCAGGAAATCAAAACCAATTACTGTTAATAAAAGAAAGCAGAGCAGCTGCAGGCAGGCGCTGCCTGCAGAGGGCTGTGAGGGGCAGGATCCAACCGGGCACCGCTGGAAAAAAGGGATGAGGCAAGATTTGTTAAAAGTCATGAAAGATGAACACAAGCTGAGGATTTGCAAATATGAGTGGAGCAGGAAGTGTTTGCTGAGGCCACTGGGAAGGCCACAGAAGCCAGCACAGCTGGCTGGGACCTCGACAGGGCTGCAGGGCTCTAGCACCCCAAAAAATCTGGAAGACCCTGACACCCTGACATAACTGGGGGGCTCTGGCACCCCGAGGCTGGGGGCATCTCCCCTGGCTCAGCTCTGCCCTGACACATCCCTTCTCACCCAGAATGGGCACTTCCCAGGCACCAACCCCAAATCCACGATGCCCCAGGGCTCCAGTCCAGCACAGCCACCCTGCTCCAGAGCCTGGAGGCTGAGGACAGGCCGTTTGACGGGCTGGGTACGTTATTAAGCACATGATTAATTTTGGCACCAGCCCCAGCTGCCTGACAGCTCCTTCTCCAGGGCTGGGAGAGCGAGCGCGAGAGGTGCTGCCTCTGCTGATGCAGCGGTTGGTGGGATGAAAAATCCTGCAATGCAGCACTGCTTCTTAATGAGCCATTTGTCTTTGAGTCTTCTTCACTCATTACCATGCCGGGAGAGGGATGGGAGTTGCCCCACGTCCCCATCTGAGCAATTACTCCTGGAGCAGAGCGAGGAAATACGGCCACGAGGCGCCCAGCTGCCAGGGATCCCTGCACGGCCGCCAGCGCGGGGACTTCCCACCACAACACCACTGACTCTGCCTGCTGCCACCTCGGGGGGACAGGAACCCCCTCCCTGCACTGCACACACGGCCCAGGACCACCCACCCTGGCCCCAGACCTGATTCTCTGGGGGTAAGAGCTGCTGTGCTGGGTGTGCAAAGGAGCTGGAGCATCCTGGAGCTGCCAAGGCAAAGGAAGGAGTCTGGCATTCCATCCCTGCAAAGCCCAAACCAGATCTTGGTGGAAGAGCCACATCTTCACAAGCCCTTTAGGATGGGGAACATCTGGGCCTGGGGGCATGGCAGCAAGGTGCCAGGAAGCTGGTTGAGAAGGAAAGAGGTGGCACAGGGAATGGGAAGTGGGTTGAGAAGGAAAGAGGTGGCACAGGGAATGGGAAGCTGGTTGAGAAGGAAAGAGGTAGAACAGGGAATGGGAAACTGGTTGAGAAGGAAAGAGGTGGCAC